AGTTGGCATGAGAAAGTGACTGCAGGCATTGTGATTTATTGTGGATGTTCAACCAAGGACTTTTTTTTAGGGATTTTACATTTTTTTAAATAAGGGACTTGTCAAACATGTGGGTGAATTTATTTCTAGGAGTCTTTTTTTTGTGAATGAGTAGAGGTACTATGTCCCCATACTCATTTACATGGGGAGTGGTATCTGGTGGCCTACCTATTATTAAAGGGGACTTCCAGATTTTGATAAGCACGCAGACCCTCGGGGGTTAGGGTTGTGAGGGGGAGGCCCTTGTCCTAATTAACATGGGAACAAGGTGCTTTGCCAGGGTGGGTCCCCTCCAGTAATCCTACAAAACCTATATCTGGTTGATATATTGTCTTTTATAGTACAAAAACAGCTTACTGTGCACTACAAAGCTATACACACTAGCTATTCTTTATTAGGGATGAACTTTGCAATTGGGTCAAAGTTAGACTAATTTTTTTTTGCTGGACCTTTAACCAAGTGGACATTTGATTAAGTGGAGTTAAAAAACCGGAGTTGAAAACAGGAGATTATAACAGGAGTCTACTAACCTGTAAGTGACAACTGATATTTCCTATTAGTAATATTAATATTGTAACTGGGATAATGAGTGCTAGCAGGGTTGAAGGTTTTGTGCAGTGCACAGTGTGCCACATGTATGCAATAATAAAGCAACAGCTCCAGGATGGATACCACTGTGACAGATGTGAGCGAGTTGCCCTTCTGGAAGCTCGTGTTAGAGATCTGGAGGAGCACTAGGCAGAACCGACAACCTTGAAAGGGGTCTTCTGCTCTCTGAGCAGGTAGCTAATGGGATTGATGTGGAGGGTGGAGAGGCTAGTCAGGATCATCAGGTAGGAAGATGGGTTACTGTAGCGAGAGGGAGTGGTAGGGGCTCACAGAAAAGGAAGGACGGCCCTGAGTTTGAACAACCAAACAGATTTGCCAAGTTGGGTGAAGATTTGGGGGTGGCAAGCTCAGGGATGGCAGCCCTGGATGTCACTGCTATCCCTAACAGCCAGGGTGGCAGACCATCTGGGAGGGCTGGTGAGGGCAGTGCAGTAAGGCCTATACAGTTGGTGGTAATAGGGGATTCTATAATCAGAAGGACTGATAGAAAAATTTGTTGCCAGGATCGCCTCAACTGAATGGTTTTCTGTCTACCTGGTGCCAGGGTTCGGCATGTGGTGGACCGGGTTGATAAATTACTGGGAGGGGTTGGGCATGACCCAGCTGTCTTAGTCCATGTTGGAACCAATGACAGAATACATGGAATGTGGAGACTTCTTAAAAATCGATTTAAAGAATTAGGCTGAAAGTTGAAGGGAAGGACCTCCAAGGTGATATTCTCTGAAATATTACCTGTGCTAACTCAGGAAAGACAGCAGGAGATTAGAGAACTAAATGCATGGCTAAAGACCTGGTCTAAGAGGGAAGGATTTGGGTTTCTAGAGCACTGGGCTGACTTTTCATTGGGGTGCAACCTATATGCTAGAGATGGTTTGCACCTAAATGGAAGGGGGTCTGCTCTGCTGTTGGAGAGGTTTATGGGACAGCTGGAGGAGTATTAAAACTAGGATCGGGGAGGGAGAGTTATATTATAATGGGGCAGACAGATCAGACAGGGATCGACCCTTATTGGTGGATGGAATGGGAAAAGATGGGAGAACTATGACAGGTGATAAGAAGGTGCCCATGTTACAAACAACCATTGGAATTGGTACCATTTGTACAAAAATAAAAAATTTGCAATATAAGTGTGCAAAAGGTGTCTTTGCATTAAAGTGTTTGTTCACCAATGCCAGAAATCTGCCAAGCAAAATAGGTGAGATGGAAGCTTTGGTGCATGAAGAGAACTATGATTGGGCCATTATTATTCCTGGCTATGTTCTCTTTCAGAGAGACAGGGTAAAAAAGAAAGGTGGTGGTGTTTGTATGTGAGAAGTGATCTCAGAGCGAGTGCGAAAGAGGACCTAGTTGATGGACAGTGTGATGATGCTGAAGTATTATGGGTGGAACTGCACATGGGATGAGGGTGAGTACTACAAAGGTAATTGTTGGAGTTTGTTATAGGCCACCCAGTGTTAATGAGCAGGTGGAGACTCAGCTCCTTGCACAAATTGAAAGGGCTGCAAGGGCTGGGACATTGATAATAATGGGGGATTTTAACTACCCGGAAATTGACTGGAGTAATGGCACTGCAGGAGCAGTTAAAGGGCAAAAATTTATAAACCTACTACAGGACAATTGTATGATACAGTTCATAGAGACCCCAACTAGGAATGATGCTCTGCTTGACCTGGTAATCTCAAACCATGCAGAGCTTATTACTAATGTCCTTATAAAAGAACATCTGGGTAGCAGTGACCATAACATGATTTCATTTATTATTAGCTGTAAACAACAAGCACATAGAGGAAAAATAAAATGCTCAACTTTAAGAGCACTAATTTTCCAAGGGTGAGAGGTGCTCTCCAAGACTTAGACTGGGTGGGAACATTGGCATCGATGAACACAACACAGAAATGGGAGTTCTGCAGAAAGACTATATGTGAACACACTGCAAAATATATTCCCGTGGGTAATAAGTTTAAAAGGCGAAAAATCAAACCTATGTGGCTTACGGCCAAAGTTAAAAAAGCTATAGATAATAAGAAAAGAGCTTTTATGAAATATAAAAATGAAGGAACGCTATCATCGTTTGAGTATTACAAAGAATATAACAGAATATGTAAAAAGGAAATAAAGGCCGCAAAAATTGAAAACGAATGACAGATTGCAAAAGATGACAGGACAAACCCCCCCCCCCCCCAATTTTTCAAATATATTAATAGTAAAAAGGTCAGGACCGAGCATGTAGGCCCTTTACAAAAGATTCTAGAGTGTGTGACTGGGGACAAAGAGAAGGTAAATTTATTAAATACCTTCTTCAGCTCTGTGTATACAAAGGAGCATGGGGGAGCTTTTGTCCATAATGGGCATAATATTGACACAGCCCCAGATGATCCACATTGGCTTGCATCTGATATGATCCAAAAATATTTAGACAGACTTAAGGTGAATAAAGCACCTGGACCAGATGGAATACAACCACAGGTCCTTAAAGAATAGAGCTCTGTCATTTCAAAGCCATTGTTTCTTTAATAACTGGCATAGTACCACTGGATTGGCATAAGGCCAATGTGGTTCCCTTTATTTAAAATAGATAAAAATCCTTACCAAGTAATTATAGACCTGTTAGTTTACCATCTATAGTTGGGAAGATACTGGAGAGTTTAATAAAAGACCACATAGATGAGTCCTTGCTGGAAAAAAATATTTTAAGCAACAGACAGCATGGATTCATGAAAGACAAAAGTTGTCAAACAAATATGATTTCTTTTTATGAGGAGGTGAGCAAAACCTTGAACAGAGGGATGGCTGTGGACGTGGTATACTTGGATTTTGCAAAAGCGTTTGACATGGCTAATATGTAAGGTGGAGTCTACAGGCTTAGAAAAATCAGTATGTAAATGGGTAGAAAACTGGCTAAAAGATCGTATTCAGAGAGTAGTCTGAATACTCTGAATGGTTGTTAGTAACACCTCATCTGGAATATGTGGTGGTTGTGGGACAATAACCTTTAACTGTCATTGTAACTTGTGTGTGTCACCTTGTTTGCCTGTACCAAGGTCAAACATTCCGGGGTATGGAAACATTTGATCATGGCCATTTGGGTGATTTCTGTTATCATTATGAATTAAAAAGGAACCAAACAACTACGTGATAATACATGGCTTCATATGATCACTATCCTTAAATAAAAGACAGTTTTTTGGCATGATCAGTCATATTTTTATGATTTCTGACAGGGTATGCAAATTGTTGAGCACTGCATGCTCAAAGAAGTGTTTGAAACTGTATATAAAAGATCTGTAATTTGATTTTTTTCATAAGTAGTATTGAATTAATTGATTATGTTGTTTTTATTTTTTTACGAATAAGGATGCGGGCTTCATCTTTTTTACTCTATTGTAAACCAATTGTTTTTAGCTCTTTTAGTAGAGTAGGTCGTTATGTCCACATTGAGGCATGATCATTATATTGATCCAATGTTTTATACAAAGTTTGCTACATCTTTGTTACATGTCAGATATTGCTCTGGTGGCTGATCTCAGGTTTGCAGCATAAATAAAAGCTGGTGAATGGTTTAATCCTTGTGAGAGAATTAATTGTGTACACTCTTTGTCTGTGAATGGGCATAGCTCCAAGTGATTGTTAGAACTATTGTTCACTGAGACATTTTCCGCCTCCTTTTGTTTTCCTTTACTGATGCTGTCTCACATAGACACAAAGGGGTTGATTTACTAAAACTGGAGAGTGCAAAATCTGGTGCAGCTTCGCAAAAAACCCCAAAAAGTTTCCAGGGCTTTTTTTGTCAAAACTTGACTGAACAAGGTACGTTAGAAGCTGATTGGCTACTATACAATGTGGCAGCAGATTTTGCACTCTCCACTTTTAGTATATCAAGCTCAGAATGAGAAGACAGTCTGTCTGCCTGTGTACACGGCCAGTTAGTGCACCTGATTTCAGCTTAGATCATTAAGCTGCATATTTTATTAGCAAAATGACTCTATTTGTATTATTTGGTTTGTTTAGTTTGTTCATGTAGAATTAATAATATATTCAGTATTTTATGATAACTTAGTGATATCATTATTTAATTCAAACTCAATATGGATAAAATTAGTTTACATTATTCTTGATCACGAAGATTCATTCAACTCTAAGGGTACTTGTGGTATATTTGGGAACAATATTAATGGTTGATATTTGTTTTCCAATGATTGTTTCTCTTAAGTTAATTATTAGGTGAAAACTAATTTCAATCCAGGCCATATACACTATATTGCCAAATGTATAGGGACACCTCTCCAAATCATTGGATTCAGGTGTTTCAATCACCTCCATCACCACAGGTGTATACAATCAAGCACCTAGGCATGCAGACTGCTTCTACAAACATTTGTGAAAGAATGGGTTGCTCTCAGGAGCTCAGTGAATTCAAGCATGGTACCATGATAGGTTGCCACCTGTGCAATAAGTCCATCCATGAAATTTCCTTGCTATTAAATATTCCACAGTCAACTGTTAGAGGTATTATAACAAAGTAGAAGCAAATGGCAACAACAGCAACTCAAACACAAAGTGGTAGGCCACATAAAATAACAGAGCAGGGTCAGCGCATGCTGAAGCACACAGTGCGCAGAAATCGCCAACTGTCTCAGTCAATAGCTGAAGACCTCTAAACTTCATGTGGCCTTCAGATAAGTACAACAACAGTGCGTAAAGAGCTTCATAGAATGGGTTTCCATGGCCGAGCAGCTGCATCTAAGCCTTACATCACCAAGTGCAATGCAAAGCATCAAAAGCAGTAGTGTAAAGTAAGCCACCATTGGACTCTAGAGCAGTGGAGATGTGTTCTCTGGAGTGAGGAATCACGCTTCTCTGTTTGGCAATCTGATGGCCGTGTCTGAGTTTGGTGATTGCCAGGAGAACAGTACTTGCCTGACTGCATTGTGCCAAGTGTCAAGTTTGGCGGAGGGGGGATTATTGTGTGGGGTTGTTTTTCAACGGCTGGGTTTGCCCCCTTAGTTTCAGTGAAGGGAACTCTTAAAGCATCAGCATACCGAGACATTTTGGACAATTTCATGCTCCCAACTTTGTGGGAACAGTTTGGGGATGGCCCCTTTCTGTTCCAACATGACTGCGCACCAGTGCACAAAGCAAGGTCCAAAAAGACATAGATGAGCGAGTTTGGGGTGGAGGAACTTGACTGGCCTGCACAGAGTTCTGACCTCAACCTAGTAGAACACCTTTGGAATGAATTAGAGCGGAGACTGCGAGCCAGGGCTTCTTTTTCCGGCATCAGTGCCTGACCTCACAAATGCACTTCTGGAAGAATGGTGAAACATTCCCATAGACACACCCCTATCCTTGTGGACAGCCTTCCCAGAAGAGTTGAAGCTATTATAGCTACAAAGGGTGGGCTGACTCAATATTGAACCCTACAGACTAAGACAAGGATGCCATTAAAGTTCATGTGCGTGTAAAGGCAAGCGTCCCAATGCTTTGGCAATATAGTGTATATACTGTGGGGTTTATTTACTAAAGCTTCAGAGTGCAAAATCAGGCTCCCTTCTGAATAGAAACCAGTCAGCTTCTGGTTTTGATTGCCAAACCTTAATTGAACAAGCTGAGGTTAGAAGCTGATTGGTTTTTATGAAGACGCGAGCCTGATTTTGCACTCTCTAGCTTTAGAAAATTAACCTCTGTTTTCTCTTTCATTATTGTTACTTCTGAGGAGAGTGCAATGTTGACTCAGAAACCTATTGCGTTTTAACTTGCATTTTATTGCATTGAAGTTTTACTTTGATATATCTTGTTGGATTTTTGAATTTTACATCCTTTTGATACAGGATCAGTCATCTGTTTTAGCTGGCTTACTTCACCCAGCTTTCAAACCAACCTTTCCACAAGGATATGTTTCTGTTGTTATACTTTGCTGCACTTAGATGTGATCTTCCTCCATCCAGATAGTAATCAAAGGTTTATTCAGTGAAGATTGCCTTCAGTGTAGTTATGAATCCTTTTGATGTGAATTAATATTTCCAAATTCTATTGCTGTGATACACTTGTGTATTTTCCGGGCTATTCAAAGAAGTGAGCACCATACATTGAAATATTACCAATTGTGAATTTGTTGATAACCCTAGAAGTGCTCTATCTTTTTAATGATGTTTACTTCCTTGCTACAGCATGATTTGTTTCAGGTTTTGGAGATAAAAGCATCACTGCAACTCACCTGCTATTTTATATAGCACCTACAGGATTAATTGTGCTCAAACCAATGCCTATTGCCTGGGAATTAGGTTTGTTTTCTAGCCCCAGACCATATTATTTTTTGTGTTCCTGTTTCTCCATTTACTGACTTCAACTTTCATCTGACTAATATTTTATGCCACCTGCCCTCAGTTTTTGCTTGTTTATGATATTGCTTGTTGACTGTGTACTATTGCTCTATTCCAGGTCAGCTGCCATCTGCACAGGTGTGTCTGAGGGGGCACAACATTATACACCCACCAGTAAAGTCCATCACTTATTGTGGAGTGCTCTAGTGAATATCTAAAATGTGTGCTTAGACTCTGTTCCTTGGCCAGGTTGTCTGCAACATGCAGATACCACAGAGATCCCATATATCCATTATTTCTTCAACAATGTGACTCTATTCTTGGTCAGCTACTACCTGCACAGGTGTGTCTGATGACCACATCCTGGTACACCCACCAGGACAGTCCATCACTACTTGTCACAGTCTACTCCCAGTATGTAGAGTATACCAAAAACAAATGCACAATTCCAAATGTCCAAATGTAGTGTGAAATGTTTGTATCTTCACCATACTATGCTCTACTGGAAAGCACAGTGGCTAAAAGGTTAGCACTTCTGCCTGGCAGTACAAGGGTCATTGATTGGAATCCCAACCATGGGACCACCTGCCTGGAGTATGCATGCTTAAAGTGCTCCGTAAACTGAAGGCACTATATAAGTACCTGAAATAAATAAAAATAAATACTATACACTTCAGTGAGAACAATGGTAAAAGTGAGCTCCCACTAAGTAATTAGACCCTCCAGTGTAAAAGGGTCCTAAAAGGCATGTATACTATTTGCCACCAGATGTCATTCTTCCTCTTCTTCACTTTCCACATCAAGAAATCTTCTGTCCTATATATATATGAACTGTGCACTGGTGAAAATCTGGTGTGTGTGCTTAGATTCTATGACTTGTCCATTTTAAGGGATCTCCACCTCTTCAATTTGTAGATACCACAGAGGTACCACTATTCCTTTTTTTCATGGGAATCTCATTATCTCTTTCTATGAGCTGTTATCAGCTCTATAAAAAGAAGAGGTGGGGAAGGTGGTGACATCGGTGCCCAAATAATGCTCCATTTCCCACCCATTTGCTTACATGACCAGGAATTCCTGGCCATGTTCTGTATGAATGGGCTGAGTGACATCAGTGGTTTGTAAGGACGTGGTTGGTGCAAACAGCCATTGCTTCCTTAGTAACCGTTGACAGCCAAGATATTGGTGACATCATTGCCCAAATAGGGCCATATTTAGGCAATGATGTAACCTGCTCCAAAAATGGCTGGTATGCACTCTTGAGGAGGAGGAGGAAATGACTCATTAGAATTTGCAAACAAAGATGACTGCTATGCAGCCTGGAGGAGAAGGAAGAGGGAAATGTAACACTAGAAAGCCCAAAAATGGATGTTATGCACCTTTGAGAAGACGTGCATGCCTTTCAACTTGTCTCAGTGAGGTTCCGCTCTCCTCAAGCTCTGTAGTAATGTGTTTCCTCATGTTTGTGGTACCTAATTGGCTGGTACTTTTACAACAGATGATACACTACAGACAGAGGCTGCAAACCACAATGGTACTGTCGGCAACAGATAAGTTAATAAAAAGGCCCACACTGCAGAGCTATGTCTATTTGCTGCCTCTTAAAATATTTGCATTCTGCTGTGGCACTAGCCAGTTTCTACCAAACAAATACCTAAAGTTTATATATTACATATTTGGGGATAATTGGGGCTACAGAGATGGAAGGGGGGTTCAAGGAATGTGGGGTTGTAGTTTTAAAGAGTTTTTGTGTACTCTATTTTGATGTTATTAAATTAACAGCAATGCACTGTGGTGCTGTAAAAACAGTAGCTTACTAACTATAGTATAAAGCTGTTATGCCACCAGCCATTTTGTATGACATTGAGGAAATTAGCTTTATTTTTTTTAACGTTAACTTTCTTATATTTTTTAGATTTGTTGCAACATACTTCTACCGTTCAATTCAGGCTAATTACCGCTGGATAAAACAAATTGGGTCTTGTACCCAAACTACCTGAAAAAAAATTATTTCAACTTTCAATGAGTTAAATTGGAGTGATGATGCTGTATTCAAGCCCAGCAGTATTGTATTAGTAAAAAAAATAAATTACGCTGGCAAAGTATGCAGTGCAAATACAGTATTCTGACACTGTATGTGAGAATCATATTGTTCCACAACACCATATACCGCTTTAAGGCATCTCACAAGCATGTAATTTAAAGGATTTAAGTTTTTCCCATGTTATCTTTGAAGTCATATTAAAAGGTGGATTTTCCAATTTTCAAACTTCACGTTGAGTTTGACAATCACCCTGTGAACTGAACTCTGAAACATTCGCTCATACCAAGTCTTCATTTTCTCATATATAAAATTTCATTGTAACAGATGAGTTCAATTTAAGTTTCTGCAGCAATGCAGAAACTAGAAAAAAAATCAACATCGGCATAAAAAAAGATTCATTCCTGATAGCAGCACTGTGGAAAGGATAAACTCTTTACATTCATTAGGAGAAAACAATGGTCTGATAACCATTTTGATCTAATAATGGTCTAAATACCTTTTTGTATGCTCTGATAGCAAGCTTCCCCAAGAAGAGCAATCATTTCACTTATATCCATCTAGGACAGGAATAAAGCATCTCTCCCTCTCAGCTACAATGTGCATTTGCTTTTACCCTTTATACAGAATTTATATCTTTTGGAAAAACTATAAAGAAATTGTTTTTAGGAATAACTACTTTTGGCCAAATCTTTTATACATTTTAATTCTAACATGCCTAGAAATCTTTTTTAAAACCTCTGATTTTATGATGTAGCATTTTATTCTTTAACCCATTCATGATGAAGGCTAAAACAAATCCCAATGCCTGGATACAGTTTTCCAACTTTGATATGCATTAGTAAAACTATACATATCATCACAACTACTAAGTGTATACAGATGAATTATACCTTTTTTTCAAGGGCTTGAAAATATCTCCTGATTTTTTATTTTTTTATTGAAATTTTTTACATACAGGGTAATGATATAACATACATCACATCTGGTTCTTGTTGCATCTTAGTTTTTTGACAGTGTGTGAGGTTTAAGAGGCTCAAGGGAGTCTTTTAATGATATCAGTCAATAGATTGTTCACTATATAGTTTTGTTTGTTAGGAACCAGGTAAGAATGGAGTAGAGGTATAATGGGGGGGAGGGGGGAAGGGGGGAAGGGGGGTGGGAGTTACAACTGGGAGCAAAAACAATTAACAATGATGAACTTGAATACCAGTCAATAGTGTTGTAAAGAGTAGTATCATAGGATATAGGTAATCAGCATATCACATTGTGTATTTAGATTAAGGGTAACTTGGGAGATAGAGGGAGACTCTAGGGATTTCCAGAGTTTAGTAATATTTTTTGCCCGCGTGAAGGATGTGGATGA